AAAGACTGCCTCAGCCTCTAGAACTGGGGTACCCTCATTCAAGGAACCATGAGACTATGGGTCCATCAGTTTGATATCCATTTGCAAGCTTTCCTCAACCCCTTATGGGACATTCAGATTCTGAGGGCGAGCAGAATTTGAGAGCTGACTGTCCTTCCAGCAAGGGCTCAGTTTTGCCATCGGAACCTTCCCTTGATGACACTGTAGGGGATCCTGATCCAGTCTCACGAGTGAAGATCTGAAGCTCTATGCAGAGCCGATGATGTGAATGGTCAAATCATTAGAGACAGAGGTGCCTTCTAGCAACCCAAAGCCCCAGGACAAGATCTTAGGAAAGCTCTACGTAGAGACAACCAATGTTCCCTCTAAGCTGTGGAGTCTTGTGAGCAAAAATCGTACTTTGTGAGCTGCTGGCATTAAAGTTGTGAGCGGGAAATGTGGCTACTGCATAAACTAGTTTGCTCTGGAGCCCTCCTTCCTGAGCTGAGACAAAAATGTGTGAGCCGGAGGCTAAAAAAACTGAGCTAGCTCACACTAACTCAGCTTAGAGGGAACACTGGAGACAACTGGTGTAATCACCTTCCCTATCCTGGAGGATATTGATGACATATATAAGACCTTATTTCAGAAACCAGCTAGCAGAAACCAAGAAGACTGAGAGGGTCATCCTTATTTATTCTGCCATCCTCCAGCTTCGTCACTAATAGCTAAGGAAACGCAGGCAAAACAGTGAACAGGTGCACATGCATAACCAGCTGATAGGGAAGGGCGAAAAATTGATGCACTTAGCAGAAAAGTTTACTCTGTTGCAGCACTTAACATTCGCATTGCCAACTATGGTGCAATTATGGGAGGATACCAGTTGTTCTTCTGGGAAAAGATGGCTATGTATATAGAGCTTCTATCTGAAGACAAAGAGCCTCTAGCTAAACTTCTCCAAGCAGAAGCATTACACCTGTCTTATCCAAACAGCAAATTAACACAGGCAGACACTCTGATGACTTCCTCTAGGGCCTTGGTTTTAGCACTCATATATATATATATATGTCTTATATATATATATTGAAACCCCCAAAGGGATATTTTTATTAAGAATAAAATTTTCTCCTGTTAGTAGGAGTTTCTAACCCACAGATATGTCCTAATACAATCCACCCTCTTAATCCATGTCATTTCAACATACTTTTAGTTTCTTGGTCAAGGGTCTGCAAAGCAAATTTAATTCATACATGATACTTTTTTATTGGGAATAGGACCTCTTGATTTCACTGATATTCACTTCCAAGTAATTGTTTTTTGCAGAATTAGAGCTTTGCTGCCACTCATCCTTTATCCATCTTGCATTAAATTAGTTCCATCTAACCTGTACTGAGCTGACTGAAGATCAGTTTCTTTAAATAAGGCCTTCAGCCTTTCACGATCTGCAAGCATATAAGAGTCATGTGACAGGAAGAGGGTAAGCCAGATTTATAACATCTCTTGTATCAAAGCTAGGACTGTGAACAACAGGCCAAGAAATCCTAGGGACAGGAAACACAAGTAGGAGTAACAGGGTGAAGAATAAGCCGTGGATCAAAGCCAAAGATAAATTGTCTCCAGCACTGAATGGTCTTGCTAATAATCTCAGCATGTATGTATAGAGATGCATGGCATTCTTGCTCTCTGTATGGCAGGCCTTTCCACAGGGCAATTAAAGAAAATGGCAGCTCAATAAGTGCCCATGACCCAGTAGGAGGGGACTCCACTATACCCTTGAAGGACCTGAGCACAGATTGAAGACTGTTGCTCTAATGGAAGTAGTTGCCAAGTTTCTGAATACACTTCAGAATGTTAAAACATGGCTTGTCTAATTTTGGATGTGACTACACAGTGTGATTGCAGCAAATGTAGAAAAGGTGTAAGTAATCTACCCATGAAAGTGTTTGGGGAGGGGACAGAGTGAGGAAACATTAATCTTATCAGCACATTCATAGTCTCAGAGCAATAGATTCATGCAGTCTGAACTAAACCTGTATATGCTGGGTCCCAGGACCCTTTTTAGACTGCAAAGGAAAATGGAATGTGATAATGAGCTCTTATGATTAAATAGCAAGTAGAAAGAGACATCTGTGTGTTGTCCTGGCCAGTCTTCTGGCTTTGTCTGGTAAGCCCATCAGAACAGCTTGTTTGTTGTGCTTCATGCTCTAGTTCAAGCCCTAGCTAAATTTCAAGCGGCATGCTTTAGTTATGCCCCGGGAAGCAAGGTAAGTGTGGTAGAAGAGTTCTTCATTAATTATAAAGCTGTATTATGCTTACCGCTTACACCCACCTCACAGGGTGTCTGTTGTGGGGAGGAGAAGGGAAAGGAGTTTGTAAGCCGCTCTGAGACTCCAAGTGAAGGGCAGGGTATAAATCCAATCTCCTCCTCTCGTCCTCCTCCTCCTCTTATTTTGAGTTTGTTTTAATATTCCATTTCTTTCTTGTGGTGGTTTAACAATGTGTGTGTGTGTGTGTGTGTTACTTTTATTGCCCATCATCTGAAGTCAGCTGCTGGAGCCCTGCTCTGTAGGGTTGCCCAGGTCAGTCTGAAACGCCAGTGGGGGGGGGTGTTCTGGGAACAGGAAATGATGTCGCACAATGTGCCTATGTCACCCAGAAGTGACATAGGCACTATGGTGATGTCAGGGGTGATTCTCTGGTTTCGGGGCAAAATCCTATGGTGAAATCAGCCTCAAACGATAATGTTTTGCCCCAAAACATTGCCCCCCGATGTCACTGTTGTGCCTACGTCACTTCCAGGTGACATAGATACATCGTATTTCTTTCCAGTGATGTTGCTTTTGAGGGGGGGGATTTCCTCCCACCGGCCAGCTGCTGGCAGTGGGCAGGAGCCCAGAAAAAACAGGCAATCCCCCACCCCCAAGTGGGGAATGGCAGCCCTCCTACTCTGCATGCAGAGAGGAGCCTGGTGAGAACAAGGACCCCCCCCCCCCCAAGCTGTGGCTTTCATGCTTGGGAGCTCCTCCTACCAGGCTCATCTAGCTTGCGTCAGAGATATGTAAAGCCTATTTGGTAATAGAAATAGTGAATTGATTCCCTGGTGTGGCACTGGACTTCTTGCATTACTGATTTGCTAATTTTCTATAGCTATGGTTTTGTCGCTGCTGGGGTTTTTGTGTGTGTGTGTTTTGCTTTCTCTCTCTCTTTTGTATTGTGGGTATTTTACTGTGCTTAACCATTCTTTTAAGCCACCTTGAGTACTATTTTAGTAGAAAGATTAATACTTAAAAAAATAAGTACATAATGTGTAGCCTGTTTTCTCCCAGCTATTTTTAATGAATTATTTAGTCATACAGCATTTCACATGACACACACACACACACACACACACACACAGAGCTTTAAATCCCTCAGTACAATGAGAAAGGCAGCCCTAGCTTTTCCTTTCTGTCCTGTCTTGGGTTTTGCATCCATTCCTTGCCTGCTGCGTAGCACATCTGGTCTCCTCATCAAAGCAGGTGAGGGAGGGCAGCAGAGATGGGGAGAACAGTGTTACAGAAAACCATGGCTGCTGTGTTGTTTACACTGTTAGATTTAAAGCTGTGTTTCTTTCATCTGGTTTGCAAGGTACGCCTCCTAGAACAGAAAACATAATACTTTGTATATTTTCTGTTTGGGGGCAGAAGTTATTAACAGCATATCACTCACCTGGTTATGGCTAAATCTGAATTTTATCTTTCACAGAATTCCATTCGGAAGTAAGCATTGTAATATGAGAGCCTATCTTACAGCTGGAACCTATTAATGACCCTTGCTGCATCTGTTTCAGAATGATTTTTAGCTTTGTATCATGGCTAAATTGTAGAAAGCTGTACAAAATTAAAACACATTTTAAAACCCTGTTATGATGACCCCGTCCATTTCTCTCCCTCAGAGGCAAGATTGTCGCTCTGTTTTCCTTTCTCTTTAGTGACTGAGCCTCCATAGTTATGTGTTTTCTTCTTTGCTGAAGGACTCTGGCTGTCCCAACCTGTCACAGTATGATATTTTGGCTGTTGGCTCGGTCCAGGAACCTGAGGGGAAGAATTGGAAGCTCACTTTAACTTTAATGACACTCTAGATGGTTTTATATTCCAAATTAATAAAATATTTTATTTAACAGAAAAGGAAAAGGTCAAGTGAAATCAGGGGTTGAAATTTCCGAGGTAATTTCTAAGGAATTTCTAAGGAAATTTCTAAGGTAAAACCCCCCACAAATTTTAGTCCTTGTGTTTCAGGTTAATGAGGGTTTCTTAAGCTATTCAAAGTTACTTAAAATCTTTATGTTGAGAGAGGCTTTTGTTCCAGTGTTTTTCCAAAGACTCCAGTACACTTTGTTTGAGTATTCTCTGACTCTTTTGGTTTCCAGAAGGCTGGTACAATCTTTCCAGTACCCAAACCCTTTTTCTTGAGACACCAGTACTCGTCTTTGAGTTTTTAACTGACTCTTAAGGTCTCCAAAGGCAGTTTCTACCCACACCAGCCCAGGGATCTCTGCATTCTTCAGAGCTAACTCCCTGTATGACTGGGTAGAGAAATTCCTTCTGTCACTATAAGATCTATCCCTCCTCTTTGGCCTGAATGGGAGTCTCCGCCTACTTCCCAAACTTCCTTACCAACTTTCCCCCAGTTCTTCTGTCTGTGTTAAACTGCTCTCAGTCAGGGCTGAATTCTGAAACTGTCAGTACTCAACTCTTCTCAGTCAATGCTGAATTCAGACTGAATCCTCCTCGGCGGCCAGTTCAGAAGTCTTTCTCTGCTCAGCTGATGCTAACCAATCAGATATCTTGGAACAGCCTGTCACTCCAGGCCCTCTGTTTCTGTAGCTTTTAAAAGTGCAGTCTATCACACCTGTAAAATGAGTGCTTACTAGCCTTGTAGTACATTCATGTTACTTGCATATAGCTATGATTATGCTGTATTTTTAGAGTTCTACTATGATCATATTTCAACTGAATTTCTTAGCAAATGCTTCTCTTTAGTCTCAGGTGAATCATCCTGCTTCTGTCAGTAATGAAACCTATCAAGAACGTCTGTCAAGATTAGAAGGTGACAAAGAATCTCTCATATTACAGGTATGTATTATGCAGCACCATTAACACATTCTGGAATTTGTCAATATGCTTGATATTTATTATGAATGTACGTTAACAAGGGAAGAAAAATAGATCTATAATACATGTCCTGTTTTTAAAAAAATGTCTAGCTACTGAGTGTGAAAGAAAATTGGAACAATGAAGTCCAAATACTTTATCCTTTTCAAATGTTGGATTGGATTCAGACTAAATTTTCCATACAGAACAGAACTTTCCTGCCTCCCCCCCCCCCCACAAAGCTCCCTGATTGCCATGAAATCTATCTTCTGGAGGATGAGGGGGGCCTTGAGGAATGAAATGAGGGGGTCTGTAGCGGTAGGGGTTGGTGGAAATTGCCAGGGAGTCTGGATCCAGTCCATTGCTTGGAACTTTTGTTCTGAAATAAAACAAAGTCCTGTGCTATATCCGTCAGACACTAACTGTAAGGATTTTGGAAGTCTGACTTTGATCTAAAAGTGTAATATTTTTATTTAATTGTTCTGGATTACCTAGCCTGGATTGGAGGTCAGAAAGAATGAGTGTGGTGAATGTTCTTTGAGTTCCTATTTATTGGAAATATGTTGTTGCTGGGGGGGGGGGGAGGGGGGGGAAATCTGCATTGTGGAGCATCTACCTCTAGCTCTACACTGGCACTTTTTAATAGGCTACTTATATGTCACCAACAACAGTATGGTATGGTTACAGCTCTCTCATGGCTGTTCCCATGTGAGTTCCATGTGAGAAATTGTGAATATTTCTGCAATGTAATTGTCCTATTCCTGTGTTATCATTGAGGTAAGTAAATGGTAATTCACCCTGAATACATATCACATACTAGTGAACTGGAGAAGTTAATAGACACATGCCTCTCCAGTGGTTGTGCTGTAGCTCTGCCAGCTGTCTGTTTTATTTTGCTTTTGTTAGGGTTTGATTATCTGATAATTCACATTCTGTGGGGAGAGGTTGGAGAAGATTTATTGGTACTTGGTGGGAGTGAGGCAGGAGAGAGATCAGTTTACAGATCTCCAAACCAACATATGCAGTAATTCTTCCAGGAGACTTCTCTGCTAAATGAGAGAAGCTCTCTCTTCCTGCAAGGTCAGGGTTAAACTATTTCATTTCCAAACTGCCAACTATATGTTGCAGATAAAATTTGACTACATGTGGAAATTTGCAAATCATGTGGAAGATGCTGTGTTGCACAGTTTAGATGGAGCATGTGAGACTTACAAAAGTGGAATGTAAATGCCAAAGTCCCTCAAGAGGTCATAGCAAAAAGGTCGCTCAGAAGAATAAAAAATGCCTTTCTTAGAAGCCCTCCCCCCACCAGGCACCTGATTAAATGTAATATGGATTTTTCAGATTTGATCACACAAAATTCTCAAAGGTGTTTATATTTTGAAAAGATAGAAAAATTCATACTGTCAAAATGATGCCCTATATAGTACAGAATACCTCTCTAACTCCCTCCTCCCAAAACCCCTCATAAAATAACCCAACAGTCTTTCATTTCTGCTCATCTGATATATTTCTTGCCCGGCTTCATGGGATTTGGTGTTACATTATGGATAAATGAGTAAGATTATGCAAGCAGTCATTTATTATTGATGATACAGTATTTTAATGACTTGGTATATACATCCATAATGATCTGTGGTATGCCACTACTATCAATTCTGAAATGTATGGCTTGTGAAAAGAGGAAACACACACACAGTGTTTGAATGCTAAACCATCCCTGGAAAACAGAATCTACGTATTGAATTAACTACACGGAAGAACTTACGTCTATTTACATCTGAAAAAGATACTGAGAAAACCATAATTGCTACCATGTTTTCCCTCTGCTCTTAGCCATAGGGGTAGAAAAATGTTTGATCAACTGTCAGTCAACTGTTTTTAGATTTTCAATTGGAGAGGAGGCTGCCGCTTTCCATCCATCTAATCTGCTATAGTTTGAAGGGGTGCTGTTAGGATCAGAGAAATATATTAACATAACTGAAAATTCATTTAAATGATGCACTAGGAAAGAGTCAATGGGAGCCAAATTGGGTAATGTAAAGGTGAGGGCGGCAGGAAAAGAGGAGTACCCAACATGGGGTGGACGGACTCAATCAAGGCACAACCCTTAATTTGCAAGACCGAGGAGGAGTCCTGGAGAATTCAAAGATTTGCATGCTGTTAATGTTTTGGTTTGTCGTAATAAAAGTTATAATGTGACTTTTATGTTTGGATTTTTTAGTCTACCCAGTCTCTGTCTGTTTTACAAATGTTAAGTTTCTTTTTTTTTTTGGTCAAAAGACTTTTTATTTTCCATTAATATCACAAATGTTAAGTTTCTGATCAGCAGTTACTTTTAAATCTCAGCAGAAATGTTCCACAGGAAGTTCTCTATAGCATAATCGTTTCTGGCATGATATAAATGATCTGTCACTCTTTGGTTCTGCTTCTGAGAGAATGCTTAATGTTGTTGAGATATGCTTTGCAAAGCCACACATTATTGTTCTTTGAAGGGATTTTAACTACAGCTTTTCACAAGTAATTGTGTGTGACATGAATATCCTGATATGAGTAGGAAAGCCCCCTTTATTCCAGTTTACAAAATCTTGGTCAATCACTAGAGGTGATTCTTGCTCTCCATAGGGGGAGGAGTCACATAACAGCCTGTGTTCAGATGTGACTGGGCTTGCTTCGCAACAGCTTTCTTCCTCAATCTAGATTATCTGAAAAAAGCCTACAATTATGTACTTTTCCCAAAGTACGAAAGGTGTGCCTCTCATGACTCATACCCCTTTAATATTTCTTTCCGGATTTTTAATACCAAACTTTTCAGAAAAGAAGGAAGAAGACAGGCATCCTTGGCAGATTTTTGAAGCTTTAAACTTGACAGTTTAGAATAAATTTGGTTTAATCAGACAGATTTCTGTTCATGTGGTTTGCTGCCATACAGAACTGTTTTGATGGTACAGTTTTGCTGAAGGTGCGCAAAGGTCAGTGTTTTCACCTTATATTTTGTCTGATTTCAAATAAATCATGTTGCTTTCTCTGGCAGTGGACGACACCATTCTTAATAGCTCCCTAGGAGCTCTTACTAATTTGTTCTTTCACAGAAATTCATGGCCTGAACTTTTCATTCATGTTTTAGCATGTAATGCTTGGAGTCTATGAAAAGCAGAGCGTTGACAGTGTTAAAACATGTCCTTTGCATACTAGTTACAAACGTTTTATTGATAGGTGAGTTTTCTCCTGTTATTGTAAGAAGTAAAGTGATTGGTTGGCTTCCTGAAGAGTTCTTTCATTGGCTTTCTCCCTGCTTAAGGAAAGGAGAACTGGCAAAAGCTGAAAGGGCTGTACATGTTCTGAGCCTACTTAAAATATTAACTGTCTTCTACAAGGGCTTTTTGTTCCTTTAAAGGTTATGTGTTGTAAATGCTAGTGCATGACCTTCAGTGCTCCTTTTCGTACACATTTTTCTGGCCTCCCCCCCCCCTTTTTTGTTATAAAATTGGCCCAAGAAATGCAGGCAATCTCTTCAAAGCCTAATGTAGTGGATATTTTAAGGTAAGAATCGAATTGTCCTTTTGAAAACAGTCAGGTAATCTGACGACCCAGTGAATGTAGACGAGGTGTATTCAGTGAGAGAACCACTGTGGTGTAGAGAATGGTATGCTGGGGTTGGCCTGGGGAGACCCGGGTTCAAATCCTTACACATGAGACTTGCTGGGGGTCCCGGGTCCATTTGTTCTTAGATAATCTACTTTGTTACAAATATGGTAAAGGTTTGTCTTTGGGTGAACGTTGGGATGCAAAAAATGATTAAGGCTGAGCATATGAGACTAATCTGTTTGTTCTTTTAAAATGTTTTCTTTTTATTATCTCTCCCCCCCCCCCCCAAATTACAGTTAAGTGTTCTCACAGACCAGGTGGAGGCCCAGGGAGAAAAAATCCGAGACCTTGAAGTTTGTCTCGAAGGACACCAACTAAAGCTTAATGCCACGGAAGAAATGCTTCAACAGGTAGGGATGTGAAGCCACTATGGAACTTCTAAAAACAGGCAAAATCTATATACCAAGTCTATTGAGTAAATAAGTTAGAATTCCTCGTATCTCCAGCTTCCATTCAAATTGATTAAAGACAACACAGTATTTACTTCCTTGGGGTGGGATACATTTCAGTTGCATAGATCTATAAGCAGTAGGCATGTAATAGGAGACCACTGTGTGTATTATTCATTATAGTCTGAGAAAGAGAAGTCAACACGCAGGCTCGATGTGGCTGAAAACCTGTTAGACTGGTTAGATCCCTAGAGGCTAATTCAATAAGGTTGATGGCTTAAAAGCAGTTTCTCTTTGAAACTGAATAAACTTTCAAGATTAAAATAATCAAATTCAGGCAGTTATAGATTTTAAAAGCTTTCTGTGCTGTCTTAGCTGAAAACGTACGACAGCTGGCTCCTTTCTCGTAACCATGGGCTGGCAAGAGTGACAGCTTTTTAGGAGACCTGAACGTGCTCTTTTGCTGCAGCAGGCAAGGAAGGATCGGTTTTGCGACACAAAGTAAAAGCAACTTCCTGATGCAAATGGTAGTAATGGTTGATGTTGCAGCACCAAGTGGGAAGTGTTTAGCTAGATCTCGGTGACTGGAAGCATGGGGGTTTAGAGGTGTCTTTTGAACTTCATGTAATTAAGTGCCTGATCTTACCTTTTACTGAACTGAGCACAAGGCTTTTGTCTCTCTCTTCTTCTTCTGGCACTGGTAGCTGAATGTGCAATAGTCAGGGCCGGCTCCAGGTGCTTCTGCACCCTAGGTGAGGCGCAGATTCCAACCTCCCAGTGGGGCCTGGACACCTCCCAGCTGGCCGCCTCCTTGCCCGCCCTCTCCACCCCCCCACCCCACTGCCCTCGAGTGAGTCCGTCTCCAGGCGCCCCAGGCCGCTCCCTCCTAATGCCTACCTTCCGTCTCCGTGGATCTTAAAGCGCCTCTTTGCCAAGGGGGGTGGTGGCGGTGGCAGGAGGAGGGGGCTTTTTTGGTGGGAGGCACAGTTCAGCGTGGTGCCCCCATCCAGGGCCCGGCGCCCCATCCAGGGCCCGGCGCTCTAGGCGAATGCCTAGTTTGCCTAGTGGGTGAGCCGGCCCTGGCAATAGTGGGAGTTCCCACTCCTGTTTTCCCCTTTAGATCTCATAAGGATATATAGTCAGAATGCTGTGAAAACCTTTTTCTGTAACATGTTAAAGTAACCTTTCCAAATGAAAGATTGCACAGTTAGTAAAACTATTAGATAGTATCATCCGCTTCAAGGGAGGTTTAATTTAAAGTCATGATGGCAATCCTGGTGTTGAGGATAAGCTCCAAGAAGTGTGTTTGCTTTCTCTGAGTAAGTCCAAACTTCTTTCACTGCCATGGACACACAGCATAGCATGAGAAAAGCTACCTTCTGTCTGCTTTAGTCACCTATCTATAGTATGGGAATAATAATACAGGACTATTTTATGCAGGGTGTAAGAGCCATAGCAAGGCAATGCATGTGAGGTACTCTGAGCCTCCTTCAGGGTCCAGTATGGTGAAGTAGCTGAAATGTTAAACTTGGACAAGGGCCTGGATAGCCTAAGCTAGCCCGATCTTGTCAAATCTTGGAAGCTAAGCAGAGTCAACCCTGATTGGTAGTTGGATGGGAGACCACAAAGGAAAACTAGAGTTGATACACAGAGGCAACCAATGTCTGTTGCCTTTAAAACCCTATAGGGTCACCAATAGTCAGCTATGACTTGACAGCCAAAAAAAAAAAAGGATGGGGGGGCCACCCAGTCCCCCTGTCTCAGTTGAACCTACCTCAAAAACCTGTTGTGAGAGTAAAATGGGGAATGGGGAACCATGGACAAAGGGTGGTCTAGGAATGCATAAAATGGAGGAGGGAAGAATGATTTTTAAACAGCTTCTGAGTCCCACTAGGGAAGAAAAGTAGGGCATAAATATCTAAATAAATAAATAGAAAAAATGTAAAGAATATATTATGGTGTTTTTATACAGTTCTAGGCTTTGCCTTGTGCCTTTTTTCTTAGGTACAGTTGTTACCCAGAATGGTTGTTTAATAATTAGTGGGGGAAATTAGCTTAGCAAGAGTTGGGATCTCCACCTATGTGTACCAGGATCTTTCCTCAGAGAATTCTCAAAATAAACCAGTCGTTCAACTCGAAGTTGTTTTATTGAAAAATAATATAAGAACACACACACAAAACACACGTGGGGCACACAAGTCAGCTAAAAGGGGAGGGGGAAACGGTGATGAGCGGGGGAAAGAGGGGGAGTTTTATGGGTGATATTTACCAGTCTTGGTGACTCAGGTCCGTAGAGAGAGAGAAAAACAGCCAGCACTTCTTTAAGATGGAATGTGCCATGCGCAGGTGGAGGTGTGATGTAGGCACCAAGAACACACACGCACACACACACTGGACATGAGTCCTTGTATTTATAGTAAAAATGTACCCTGAGGCATTGTGACAGGTTTGCCCCCCAAACAATAACTTGATGTGTTTACCAATATTTTCCCAAAGACTATGACAAAACCAAATGGCTCTCCCAGAGGAAGATCGTTACACAGTGACAGTAGATTTTCATTGGTATTTTAGTTATCAAAATCCCGTAACTCAGGGCTGATTCAGACAAGTCCTCTGCAGGCATTACATTTGTGTTCTGTTCACATGGAGCCTACCAGCCATGTGGAGTAGAAATGTGATTCATGCCATGGTGCTTCCCAAATGTGTGACTGGGGGCTTTCCTACACCATGTCAATGGAATGCCAGTGTAACATAGTTTTTATATTCTAGCTGGGATGGCAGTATGGCTTTGCGCATGCTAAAAGTAGAGTGACAATTCAGCTGTGGCCCTCATCCTGCATTGGGGTGGTTTTGGTCACAGTCACTCTTTGCAAAGCACTTCGTAGAGTTGCTTTGCCTTGAGGTGGCTTGAATGTTTGCTGTCAATCTAGGCACTTCTCACATCGCTCTCAGAATGTTGTTGTCTTAATGTTAACATTCTTGTCAGTTTTCATTGCTAACAATATCCCTTTATAAGTATAAATTTTTACTGTAGGGCATAATCTCATGTCAGTTTTTCTGCTCTTTTACGTATGAGTCTTATCAGCTTATTCCACCAGGCTTGTCTTGATGACATCCATTTTCCTGTTTTATTAGGAGTTGTTTTTTTAAAAGAAATGGATGGGTTGCATTGCCTTACAGTCTCATGTCTTCTAGTACTATCTATTGCATTCTCATAACAGACTTTTGTTCTGCCCTCTCATGTACCCAAATCAATACGATTTTGCATCCTTTAACTTACTGTCTACAGCCTCACAACACTTCTCTTGCTTCTTAATTTGCTGCTTGATGATCGCATAGCTGTGCAAACATGCGCTGTACTTTTCCATTCTGTCTGTCGCCAGTTTGGCTACTTCTATCTTCCCTGTTGCATAACACTTGAACGAAGCAAGTGGAAATTAAATAGACCTCCAGAATGGCCAAGCACATGCTTTACTTTCATGTACTGTTATAAACCAGCAAGCTTTTGTTTTCAGTGTTGTTCCTGTGATGCAGGCATCATCTATTCTTCTTTAATTCCTATGGGAACTCAAAATACTTTCTCTTTTGTTTGAAAGTACTAGAAATAGAAAGCATTTGCAGTTAACCCATGTACAAAATTTTCATGCTGTTCAGCTTTCAGTGTGGTCATTTATATTTCTGGAGGCTTGTGGAGAAAAGAAGCCTGTCTTTCACTCCCCCCCCCCCCGGTTTGCATCTGTTTACAGCAGGCATGTCCAACTTCGAACAGGTAGTGATCTATTTTTTCCGGCCAAAAGTGCCAGTGATCTACCACTATGAAAATAAAGGTTCAAATTAGTTTCAAATTAGATTTTAACCCACTAAAGTTGGGTTCCACACACACACACACCCATTTATAATGCACCTTCTGTCATTTACTGGTAAGCAAAATAAGCAAAAACAAAACAGAGAGACGAAGATCCAGAAAGAACTGCGAACATTTTTTATTAAGTTATAACTTTCTTTAACTGTCTCAATAACTTTCTTTAACTTTTATTCAGAGTTATTTGTGTTAAATGTAGGTCAAGTATTGATCCAGGCTGATCTTGCGCAATCTTTAAAACTTCACTCTTGCTCGTTAGTGAGACCATTAGTGAGACCAAGTGGGGCTGGTGATCTCCCTCTGACCCCTCCACAATCTACTGGTAGATCGTGATCTACCATTTGGACATACCTGGTGTACAGCATTTGCTCCATTGATCTGCTGTAACAACGCTACTTTTCTACATGATCCCAGCCAATTAGGAATCACATAGTAGATATTATTTCACAAGTCCATGTAACCAATCAGGAAAAATGGAATTCTGCCATTAGCAGATGAGATTTATGGAAAGAGATTTATGGAAAGGAAGGGTTTATATTGGGCTAGGGCTGCTAAGCTCCCAATGGGGGTGGGAGATTCCCTGCCCCTGGCTCCTATTGTGTGCTGCCTCTCTGAGTGGCAGCAAGGGAAAAATGAAGAGGGCAAAAGCACCCTCATCAGAAGTTGATACCGGAAGTGCCAAGTGCAGCTCTAGGAATCACCTAAAACTCTATGGTTTTACCACTGCCTGGCAACCCTATATGGGCTATGGAGGGAATGCAGAACAAAAACAATTAGGTAAGTGGCCATTGGTACAAAATTCATGCTGGCTTGGGGAGAGGCAGTGGAAATGTCACTATGTGCTGTGAGTAAACTCACAAACCTAAGTGTTGCCCACTGGCAAAATGGCAGCAAACTGGGGGGCACGTACTGGCATCACACGGATGTGTAATGTCACTTCCAGTGAAAACTGGAAGTGACAGCATGAGATGCTCCAGGATTTACAAAAAACCCGCTATGGCTGGCATGCCAGTCCTTGCCCCAAAAACACTCCTGGGGGTTGCCAAGTGGCAGTTTGGCAACTCAAGTGGTGAGGTGAGGAGGAAGAAAGAAAAACTGA